ATCCAAGGGACCTGAGGATGCAGATCTCATCCTACAAGACTGGAAACAGAGTTCTGATCTGGCAGACAGCAACCTGACTATGAACCTGCTTGAAGTTCCTCCAACAGCAGATTCCTCTCCCAAGGTTGGAATTCTGACTTGGGAAAGGGTAGAAGATGACACTGGGCAAGAAGAAAAAGGCAACAGATGCCTGGAAAACATGTCATGCCCCCAGTTAGCAGTGATGGAAGAAAACTACAGTTCTTGCTTCCCTAGATGGACAAAAAATACTCCAAGTCTTGCCTTCTCATGATTTCTGTTCTGTCGACAAGAGAAAACAGGAGCTTTGGATGGACTGACACTTTCAGTAATGGAGGTTCTGCTCACAGACCGCAAGATTGCTCTCTCATGCTGGAATTTCTTTGTGTAGATGGACCTCTACACACATACTGCAGAGTTGACTCTGGGCAGGCATGCGCAGGATTGTTGAAAAACAAAATACTGGGACCTCACGTGGTCGCGTCCATGGATAGAAGATCGCATCAACTGGGGCGCTTGTGTCTGGAAAAACATTACTGGGGTGTTGCCATGGGGTCTATCCCCCCATCCATTCCCATGGCAATAGGGAGATGGCTCGTGAGAAAGCAGTCTATGGGGCCATGATTACACTGGCCCTCTGCAAGGTCCATTTTTGTTGTTGGCTCCCTAATACTTCACGGCATCGCAAGCCAAATCATTGGCTACAATGCCTCGCTTGTTCTTGCTCACAAAGAACATTCACCACTGGCATACGGAAGTTCATGCACGAACGCAGTCTGTCTCCTTCAGAGCAGATGCATCACCTGGGGCCATATCCTCCCCTTGACCCAAGTGGGGAACATCCACAGTTTCGTACTCCAAAATGAAGGGGGAGAGTGCTCTTTTCGTACACAAAAGATGATCCAGAAGGTTCCCTCACAGATCAGTGGACACCGATATGAACATCACACTGTTTCTCTTTCTTACTTGGTGTTTGAGGTGGATCTGTTTTGTGCTCCAAGATGCCACAAGATGGTTGCTTTTTCCCGTCCCATGAGCTGCACTGTGCTATTTTGGTTTTCTTGCTAGAAAGGAGGAAAGGAGGAAATCCACTGCAAGGTGGGCTTAATTGCCCTTTTAACCATCTCTCTGCTTTGCTCGGGAGTGAGCAGCTTCACAAAGTGGCCTTCGGATCTCTCTTGAATGAATTATTTACATAAGATGGGAGGGAGGAAACATTCCAAAATGTCTGGCAGAATTTACAAACTATTGGAAGATTTGAGGCATGGAGGAAATGATCCTTCTTCTTGTACGACCCACTCCTTTGCACTCCCACCCCTGTGCTGGGATTCAGTTTTTAGCATCCTTTCTTTTTATATTCCCTCTTTCCTTTGCCCTGTTCTTTCCTTTTCTTTCAGAGTCTCCCACAATAAGGCACAAATCAGCATTACTATTAGTTAAGCAATAACTTGAAATGGTTTACTATGTAGAACTGAATTCATTTCAGTGACCTGAAGGAAGGAGTAGGTGGGAAAATATGGAAAACAGAGGTTTGTTTATGTATTATAATTATATCCCAACTTTTATTCCTTTCAAGGAGGTCAAGGCACCTTACGCAAATCTCCTCCTCCTCTCAGTCTTATCCTCACAACAACAACCCTGTGAGGTAGGCTGGCCTGAGAGTCTGTGATTGGCTCAAAGTCACCCAGTTGGCTCCATGGCGAAATGGGGCTAGAACCCAGACAGTCTGAGTCCCAGTCCCGTGCTCTTAACCACTACACCACACTGGCCCTCCCTCTGGCTTCACTAGGATATCCCTGTCCTATAGCCTGTAGGATTGGGAAGAGGAGGTTCTTTTATTGCTAAAAAATAATGTCAACAATGAGCAATATATAAGAAATCAAAAGGGACTTGAAACCAGAGACTTCTTTGAAGGGCAAAATGGGTTCTTGAACTAATATTTATTTATTTATTTATTTATTTATTTAACGTTTTTATATGCCGTCCCCTTGCTACATAGCCTCGGGACGGCTCACAGAACTAGGGCTGATAATTGCTCATTCCAGCATCAAACTCTCTATTAACAACATAATCCCTGCAGGAAAGGGGAAATATTTGCATCCATTTGAGAAGGAGCATCACTTTGCAGTCAGCTTTGCATAGGGGTCCACAATTTCGGGCTGGTTTTAGGCACCAAACCAAAAAGTATAACTGCCCAGTCCCTGCCCCTGCCCTGCTGAATTCTTTCAAGTTTGGAAGGGAAGCAGGTTGCTCCCCAGGCGCCTAAAAGTCAGCATCACATGCTGCACAGCAAGGAGAAATGTGGGGACCCATTTGGTTGCCCCTGCTTCCTCGTACCCCACGGATCAGAAACCCCAAAGTGGGTGTACCTGGACACATCAGGAGGTAGCAAGTAAACTGCTGTGCATGAGAAAACAAGCAATTAAAGGCATCCCCAGGCCAGTGCAATAGCCTTCTCCTCTCGTTGCTCTGGCACTGCCTCTTTTCAAAAGGCTGCTACTGGGAATGGGACCAGGGAATTCTGCCACATCTCTGCATCACTCCATCACGCCCCAGGCAAAGATGCAGGAGAAATACCTGACTTTCAGTGAGATGCCCAGAGGTATTTCTGCAAGAGTCAGTGACCGAGTCTGTCCTCCAGTCACAAGCCATGCTCCAGATCAATGAACAAAGCGGAACACACAGGAGAGTTTGTCTCCTTCCAAGGCAGGCGATGGTTACCCCTCCAGACCCCAAAAGTAATCCATTTTCAAACATCTCCAGTTTTAATCAAGGGCAAAACTGTGCCTCAGCCATCGAAAGTTTGAAAAACAAAAGAATGTTTTTACGAATTTTCACACAGACATTCTTTCAGGCAGCCAGTTCGGCGGCCACGCATCTTGTCACTGTCAACACGGTGTCCCGCTGCCATTCTCGACACCACGCATTCAGCACCCTCGCTTGCTCATCATAACGAAAGCTGCAGTGGAACCTTTCAGCTTTGTTTGCCGTTGCGGTTGCCCTGCTTCTTGTAAACAAGGCAACTTCCCGTCTCAGGGTTCCCACTGCTAAATCAGGATGAAGCTCGGCACCTTTCAGGTCATGACCTATGAATGTATGCAAGCTGGAACTCTGCCTAGCTCTATTTCTGTCACATCGCATCTGGGGTGGGAATCAGGAGAGGCCTCCAAAACAGGCATCCCTTCCTGAAAGCCAGCCCCACAATCTGCCGGAATGTACTTTGCATACATTTTCTTCTGTTGTGCTCAGAGCGTCAAAGAAATCCCACTGCCCTGGATGGAATCCACTGCTTCCTATGAAGAGATCTTCAGCCAATCTTCTAAGCATTCATTCAGGCACTTGAAATCTTTGATCAAGATCCTAGAACTGAACTACAAACGATCATTCATCCAATAGTTTATAGGGACAATGAGTGGTTCTCTGATCTAAAAAGCATTTGCAAAAAGAAACTAAAGCAGCACCTTAGAGACATACAGATAGCAATGCAGAAGAGAGGGATGTCCTGCAATTTTAAATCAGCCATGGCCTCGCTAGACTGCATCAGCCAAGCCAGTATCTGTCAGCCTCAAACAGCACCCCGGTCCCTTAAGACGAACAGGAGTAATGTTCGAGCCTGACAGATGACAGCTGACCTCAGGCCTTTAAGTGACCTCTCCTCGGGGAAGCACACGATGTTCCCCTCTTTTATCCTAACAACAGCCCTACCCTGTGGCTGCAGCACAAGGCCAGGTCCAATGCCTGATCAGTACTGGCCTGTCCTACAACCCTTTCACAAGAAAGACCAGGGCAATGGACCCCAAGTGCTTAAAGCACTTTACAAGGAAGCTACATGCCCTGCACTAGCTTTTGCATGCTTGCGATCAGGTCTTAAAGGACCATGCCAGCTAACAGCAGAGTTACCATTTGTTACCAGGTTACAAAGAAAGGGCTTGGATTATACCATCCCAGAATCTTGTTTTCAACCAATTTGTTCCATATCAGTCAGCACATCTTGACATGCAGGCAGAAATAGGCAGTGCTGGGAAGGAGCACCTTGGCAATGCGACTGCTGCCTTTGTATCAAACCACCTAATCCCGGTTGCAAAACCTCTGATCCGCACCTTACCTATTGATTGCATTTCTAGACCACCCAGTAGCTGAAGCTCTCTGGGTGGTTTGCAAGGCAAAGCTTCAGGCTCAGAAATAAAATAGCACAGCCAGGAGGTAATATCAAAACTCTTCAGTTTCAAACAGAGTAAAGCTGAACTAGTAACTGAGATAAACACTACCAGCAGTGCAACAATCTGACTATTGCTAGCCGTTTTTAAAACTGAAGGGCTGCATAGCCTGAGAAAATGTGAAGTTGCCACCCAGTGTCGAAAAGACTACAGCGATGGCACCAGGGCTTCTCTGGGTGAAGCATTCCAGAACCGGGGTGGCTAACTGGCTCGCTGGGCTGGGCTGGGGCACTGCGAGAAGGCCCTCTGCGAGTGCTCTGAGGAGCTGCAGCCACGTATGGAAGGAGATGATCATTTCGGTCGCCTGGTCCCAAGCCGTTGAGGGCTTTGCAGGCTGATCCCAGCTCTTAGAATCTGCCCTGGAGATGGACTGGAAGATGGTACATCATAAAGCAATGAAAGCATTGGTCAGTCCTTCCCAGCAATCATGCTGCCCTATTTGGAACTGCTGGTTCCAGATCCTTTCCAAATACATGCAATATGCTGCAGCAATTTCAGTAAGTCAGTGGTTACCACTGTGGGCAAGTTATCCAATTCCAGATGAATGAGGCCCCCTGCACCTTCAAGGACAGCACCGCATCCAAGATTACCTCCAAACTATGGCTCTGATACTCTGGGATACACTCTCTCACCCCAGAAAGCTCATAAAGACAGAAGAACCACCCACTAATAGTACCTCCTTCTTATGTGGATTAAGTTTGTTTATTCAACTCATCCAGTCCATTACTGTGCCCAGTCACTGATGTAGAAAACCCACGGCCTCACCTGAGTTTGTTGTGAAGGAGAGAGAGAGCTGGGCGTTATCCTTGTATTGGTAACACCTTGGTTCTTTCCTCCAGATAACCTGTCCAGCAATTTCATGCAGATGTTCAAAAGCACAGGATATTGAATGGAGTCCTGCAGCATCCCTTGGGAAAACTGCCAAGGGGCAGAGCATTAATCCTGCAGCACTACCTTCTGGAATCAACCATCAAAATTGGAACAGAACCACTGCATGGTAGTACTCCAACTCTTGGAAAAATCTCATGGTTGATTATGCTGAAAGCTGACAATGGGTCTGAGAGGAAAGCTCTAGATCACAGTCCCCATCTCCACTCAGCCAAGGTCAACCCATGGGGCAACCAAGACAGTTTTCTTCCAAAGCTGGATTTGACACCTGATGAAATGGATCTAGACCATCTGCTTCATTCAAAAATGCTTGGAATTGGCTCATAACCACCCACTCAAGCAACTTGTCCAGGAAGGGGATGCGGGAAACTGGCCTATAGTTCTTAACATCTTCTGGATCCATCTTCTGACCACACAGGGGATCACTTCTGTTTCTTCATTTGACCAAGATGCACCTGGTGGAATGGGAATGAAGAAGCCACTTACAGAAGAAAGCCCATCTTGCATCCTTGTCCTTACCATGTGCTTCTACACACTGCACCTGCATTCAAGAAACTGGCTCTCTGGAACACTCATCCAGAAACTGGCTCTCTGGAACAGTCCAAATGGCTGTCCCCTCACAGCCTGCTTTTGGGTACATTTTAATTTAATTTAATTTAATTTAATTTAATTTAAAACATCTGTATCCCATCCTTCACGGCAGCATCTCAGGACGGCTCACAAGTTTAAATGATGTCTTGCTCTGTGTGGACAGTTCCACTACAAGAACAGAAAATGTCTCTTTGATGAACATTCAAGCGCTACCCAAGGAAGGCAGGAAACCTTGTCTTATTCAGCAATCACCCATTCATCTCTTCAGCATTAAATAATTAAAAGATTTTTTATCTATGAATAGGTATTTCTCCTGAATGTCAAGCAAATGTCCAAGGCAGACACTCCTCATACCTGTCGAGGTGCGAATTGCTCAAAGCAAAAGATAGCAAATGGCTGCCAAAACCCTCCTAGTGAACCAGAAGAATCACCAAATTGACAAAAGGTCCAGGCCCAGGAGACAGAAGAGTTAAAGCATCAGCTTGGTGCAGCCCTTGAATTCAGGACCATGGCGGCAGTGAACAGCTTTAAGCCAACTGGTCCCAAGCTGTAGTGAGAAACATTGAACAGAAGGGAAAGCAAGCTTGATATGACCTCTAAAATGGAGTGGAGAGGGGCAGATATAGATCGTTGTTAAGGAAATGAGGCATGGGCACAACCACAGAAAAGAGGGATTTTATAGTAGCAGAGTGGGACAACATTAGAGAATGTACATTGCTACCCACCAGGGCAGCCTACTGGATACTTTCTGCCATTCTTTATATTGTTTAATTGTGTGCTTTATTGTGGCAACATTTTTGTTGTGTACGCTGCTCTTTTGTTGTGCTTAATTTTGGAGAATTATAGAAATAAATTCAGTAAATACATAAAATAACACACCACAACATTATGTGTAAGATGTGATGGTTGGTGTGTGTGTGTATCTGTCAATACACAGACTACTTGCAGGTTCCTGGGTGCAACTTCTTTTAAATAGCAACTTTGCAAACAAGCTGTTCTTATCAACCCTTCCCCACCATTCAATTTTTCTTTGTGCCATCAAACGTCAAACATTTATGCACACTCTGGTAATATCCAGGCAGGACTGAAAAGGACTGCCCAAGAAAACCATTCAGAAACAAGAGCTGGTTCAGGATGCAAGGGACAGGTTATTGAATGGGACTTGCTGTATCTCACCCATTCTTAAAGACATCGGTAACCAGAGTATCCAAGCTGAAGTCAAAAGCCTTGTATCAAACAATATGACCTGAAATAGTTTGGGAAAGGGGGTGCTGGAAGAGTTGTCTCCCCATCAGTTCGGACCTCCCACCAAAGCTGTCTTCTGTGTGCCTCCTTCCTTCAGAAGTCAGAAGGCTGCCTACTGGAGTGGCACCTCGGCTGCAGAACACGCCCCTCAAACAAATTTCTCAGGCTACATCTTTGCTCACTTTTAACCACAACAAAAAATCTGTATTGTTCCCCCAAGTATTTACTCTTGTGTTCTTCTGCCTCTTGTTGCATCTCCTTTTAAAAAATGCCTTTAGAGTATTTCTTGCACTTGTATTGGGGATTTTTTATCTCTGTAAATTTTCTTGAGCACCTTTTTCAGGGAACAGCAAGGTATAAATAAATGTATAAAGCCAATAACCATTAAAGGACAGCTCTCATCTCTTTTTACCATGCTCGCATCGTCTTGCCAGACCTTTATTTATTGGCCAAATTTGTGACTTGTCTTGTTTGACACTATAAAAAGCAAAAACAGAGTCCTTCTAAGAGCCAACATTTTTGTGGTCCCCAGTTGCAGTTTCACCAAATTTAGCTTACATTCTAGAAGTACACATCCACCCAGTGAAAGGGGGGCTTGGATATAGAGAGTATTAAGCCAGCATAAACAAGACTTGACCTTTCACCAAACCTTCTATTCTCCATAATGCTGCCCACAGGCCCTGGAACTGTGGTAACATGGACCTGACAGCACTGGTGGTTCCCCCCATCCCATGGCACAATCCCAAGCAATACACGAAGTCCTAAAACTCAAAAGCATCTTAACCGGTATCATCAAGAAAGAACTGTTCCCAATAAATGACCTTATGACTTCCAGAGGCTTCTTGGGAAACAAAAGAGCAGAAAGAAGGCTGACACCACTTAATGAAATATAAGTAAATTAACCTTATTTTGACAACTGTACCAGCATAAATTTCAACGAGTTAAATGAGATTAAAACCTGGATTCCTAAAGGAAAAACTAGTGTGCTTTATTCCTGCTGCGACAAGTGATACATACACCATACACATTACCTTAAGAACAGCATGAACAAGACATTATCTCCCATACAAGACGGATGCCAGCTATCCAAATTGGTAAAAACTATTCATACAGAAATCCAGCCCAAAGGGTTTCAACTGGTTTTGCTATGAAATTGATCGCCAAAGGCCAGAGCCTATGGGAGAGAGATCGATCCACAGAAGCAGATCCGACCACAAATGTCCCTCCTGTTGTTACCGTCATGTTCCATCAAGCCATCGCTGACTTATGGTGACCCTATGAATGAAAGCCCTCCGGAATGTCCCATCCATTCCAGCCCTGCTCAGCTGTTGCGAATTCAAGGCTGTGGCTTCCTCTATGGAGTCCATCCATCTCTTATTTGGCCTCCTCGCAAAGCCCCAAAGCCGCTTCACCTGATACTGGAGATCTGACATCAGTAGAGGCAAGCAGGGGGTGGGGGGACTGGAAAACATGCCTTGCTTGGGCAGGAGCAGGCACTGAAGCTGCAGCCCCTCAGTCATGCCACCATGTGAGGAGTGGGAATTCATGCCGGTAGGAAGAGGGTGAGCATAATTTCCTTCCCATGGGTTCCAAAAGAGAACGGGGAATCGCCAGAGGAAAGCAAAATGGGGGAAAGAAGGGGAAAGCCCAAACACAGCTCTTGTTTTATGCCTTGCCGTGGACCGTCAATGGCCTATTCCAAAAGTTGGAGGAAGAACAAGCAAAATAGTGTGTGTACAGAATGCTGGGAACAATGGATGGCAAAAGAAGGACGGCAGAGGATGAGGACGGCAGAGGATGAGGACGGCAGAGGATGAGGTGGCTGGATGGAGTCACTGAAGCAGTTGGTGTGAGCTTGGGTGGACTCCGGGGAATGGTGGACGACAGGAAGGCCTGGAGGAATGTTGTCCATGGGGTCGCGATGGGTCGGACACGACTTCGCGACTAACAACAACAACAACAGTTCATTGTCTCCTTCTCTTCCTGTGACTTTTTCTACTGCCACCAGGTAGAAAGCTTTATTTCTCCGGTTGCTTCCACCAAATCAGGCTTAAACTCTCTGGGTTTCAGGTATCTATTTTAGGTAGTGTAGGGCTTGGCTGTTCAATGTGGACTGGGCAAGTCCCACACCCAAAAGGAGCACAATGTTTCAAAAGTAGAGCACTAAGCTTTTATTGAAGAATAATGTTAATACATGAAGTTTTACAATCTGAATGGATTCTGCCTCCCACAACAGTCCTAACAGCAATACGGTACCAAAATGACTGGAGATAAGCACATCCAACTAACTTAACTAACATTTCTCATGCAGTTTCCTTCCAAACACCATCTTATTATCATTAGTTGTTCTGCAAACCTGGTCTCCAGCTTCAGCAGCTTTGATTTTTTCCTTCTTCTCTCCTTTCTCCTTTCTTCACTTCTCTCCTCCTCTCTCTGCTTTGGGCATATATACTGCAAAATATTTTTCACTTCCAAACTCCATCCAACAAGAGAGCAGTTTCTTGCTCACTTCTGCAGACCAAATTTTTACTGCCTGAGTTACCATTCTTCTCTCTCCTCCTCTGACCTTCTGCTGAACTTTAAAATGCCCCGGCTTCCCAAGGAACTTCCTGGCCTCTATATTATAGCTAAACTTGTGACTTCTAAACTATTGGCCTTTTGGCTAAAACTAACACACAGGCATACAAGTACAGAGGGATTTAACTTCCTAACAGCTAAAGCCAAACTCAATATAAAAATGGAAGACCATTTTCCATTGTCTTCTGTGAACCTGGCTGAGCCTGTGCCTTCAGATCTGCCCACCCAAACTATTAGGTTTCTTCTGCAGGAGCCCCAGTGGTAAAGTACCCTGGGATCTCTGTGATGAAGGGTAACATACAAATCATGTGATAGACAGACAGACAGAGCAAATCTGTGTCGAAACACCTAAGATCCACGTAGGCCTTCATTCTGAGGACCACTAGTCTTCCTCGTTCCTTCTCCCTCCCCTGCAGTATCGCTTTGAAAATTTGTAAGAATCAAAGTTGTATTTTTCCATCCTGCATTATTTGCTCATTATGTTTTCTGAGGAAAAAGACAGAGAAAGGCACTAGGGATGGGGGGGAAAGGAGCACGCTACATTTCTATTCGTTCTTTGAACATTTCCGGGTTTTATTTCAGAGCAGCACAGCTGCTGAGCAAATTACACTGAAATTAGGGGAGCTTTTGTTTCAAGTGTGGCCACACAGAAGCTCTTCAGTGTGCTCCAAGAGTTCATAAACACACATCCAAAATGCCAACAAGCATAACCGCAAAGACCAAATAATTACAAGAAAATGACAGCAAATGTTTCAACCATGGAAGAAATGCTTAAGCAAGTTGATGTTGCCTGAAGATAGGGTTACACAATCAGCCAAACAACAATAAAAGCCCCCAAAACCCACAATCCGGCTAGTTTATCCTCTAATGGAATTTCCACAAAAAAGAGAGATCAGAAAAGTGGTGCACTTTCCATGTTACTTATTCAGCAATATACAGCATAATGTAACTGCTAAGCACCATGTCGGTAGCTAATGTTGCCTGATACTTTAACTAAAGCTTTTTTAAG